GCCACTTTTACCGTATGTTTTTTGGGTAGTTACCTCGCTGGAATGTCCATCTAAGAGGAGATTCCAGCGAGGCATCTCTTCCTCAGCATAAGGCTGAGGAAGAGATGCCATGAAACGATCCATAATTCTAAAAATTTTATGAATTGGTTCAATTCCACATTACCTTTTCCATGTTTTGCCTTTACAATACGAAATCCATCGTTGGGTTTAGGTTCATTAGAAAACGACACAGTCCTTCATTCTGGGACACTCCAATTGAGTTGGACTTTGGCGAATTCAAATCGGATTTTTAAGAAATAAAAGATTTTTTCTTGTCGTCAACTAAATAACCCGCCCTCTACAACTTCTCTGTGGATCTCTGTGGATCTCTGGTCATTTCTCTATTTTTTAATGTAGGGGGCTTGGAATTTGACTAGAGAATTTCATAAATCTTGAAATTACGTGACTTTCCCCTAATATGATTTGGAGATGTCCTACATATTATTGATCTATTTATGAAATAAGTTCACAATTGAAGTCTGTACAAGCTAACCAAGCGCAGTATTTGTTGGAGATCATTAAATGAAACATCAAAATCAAAAAAAGTCAAACCAATGAAGGTTAATTTGAAGCCGGAATAATAGTCTAGGAAGCAATATCGCTGGAAATAATAAATATTAAAAAAAATTGTCCGACACTGTATATTGATGTATGTGGTCGGATATACTAAAAAATTCACATGATCTTTTTTTTTAATATTTTAATTTAGGGACCAGAAATGTTGTATATGACTCTATTACATCAATATTATAATATATGTATATTTAAATACCAAAATTCTCCATAAATGCAAAAAATCGAAGTATCCATTTCAAACAAAATCAAATAAAATTACTTAACCAGTTTCAAATTGTATCATAAATTCGGCTTATTCTCACCTATAACTGAAATTGAATTAATGAATTATTATGTCGAAATTTTTTTTAATCAGCGGTCCCACCTAGTTATTTTTTGGGAATAAAAGTACATTTACATTGTTCCGGATTTCGTTAACTAAGAGGGTTTACATTGTCAATTTCGAAAGTTTCATTTGTACGTTCTTTACCATGGTATAATAATAGAAGGTAACAGCAAGTGTTGTTGTACAAAAAACCATACAACAACCACATGGAAATTTGTTTTTGTAAGTTCTACTAGTGTCAAATCATTTGACAGAAAAGTGTAAACAAATAAACAAATTATCATCAAATTATTTTTATTTTGAAAATTAAATATGTTTGAATCCTCAAAATAAAAATTGAAAAACATGAATGAAAATCTATCAAATTTATATTTCTATCTCTTCCACATCTTTCCTATAATTGATCATTGATCATTGCCATATATATGTGTAACACATATGAAAATGCTGGAAACAGCGAGTTATTCCTTGAATAAATTTTGCTTCCTCAAACTTTCCCAGCAGGCAGATTGAGTAAATTGAATACAGGAGCACATTTTATAAAGAACAATTTCAAATTGTATGCGTTCCCAATTTTCCTGTTGGGTGATTTTTAAAAACATAATTTGTCAAATTCATATTGACACTAGTATTACGTTGGAATCAAATCAGCTGGGCTTTGCTGTTACCTTTTATAATTGTACCATGGTTCTTTACTATTATAAAAACCAGTAAGGAAAGTAGTAAAGTCGGACGGGGCCGACTATATGATACCCTTCACCACTATGGGTATATTAAACAGGACTATTAAGATGAAATTGGATGAAATAAAATATGTGATATTTATCTAAATGTGAATGTGAAACAAGACAGACATCACTCTAGGCTCAATTCAGTACGTTATGCCAAATTTCGTGCAAATCGAAGGATATATAGGGACTTTGGTGCACCATTTACCTAAAATCGGGCGAAACTATATATGGGAGCTATATCTAAATCAGGACAGATTTTCACGAAACTTGGCAGACATCATTCTAGGCTCAATTCAGTACGTTATGCCAAATGTCGTGCAAATCGAAAGATATATAGGGACTTTGGTGCATCATTTACATGAAATCGGACGAAACTATATATGGAAGCTATATCTAAATCTGGACCGATTTTCTCGGAACTTGGAAGACATCACTCTACGCTTAATTCAGAACGATTTCGTGCAAATCGAAAGATATATAGGGACTTTGGGGCACCATTTAAATGAAATCGGACGAAACTATATATGGGAGGTATATCTAAATCTGAACCGATTTTATCAAAACTTTGCAGACATCACTCTAGGCTCAATTCAGTACGTTATGCCAAATTTCGTGCAAATCGAAAGATATATAGGGACTTTGGGGCACCATTTAAATGAAATCGGACGAAACTATATATGGGAGGTATATCTAAATCTGAACCGATTTTATCAAAACTTGGCAGACATCATTCTAGGCTCAATTCAGTACGTTATGCCAAATTTCGTGCAAATCGAAAGATATATAGGGACTTTGGCGCACCATTTACATGAAATCGGACGAAAGTATATATGGGAGCTATATAGAAATCTGGACCGATTTTCTTGAAACTTGGCAGACATCACTCTAGGCTCACTTCAGTACGTTATGCCAAATTTCGTGCAAATCGAAGGATATATAGGGACTTTGGTGCACCATTTACCTAAAATCGGGAGAAACTATATATGGAAGCTATATCTAAATCACGACCGATTTTCACGAAACTTGGCAGACATCATTCTAGGCTCAATTCAGTACGTTATGCCAAATTTCGTGCAAATCGAAAGATATATAGGGACTTTGGGGCACCATTTACATGAAATCGGACGAAACTATATATGGGAGCTATATCTAAATCTGAACCGATTTTCTCGAAACTTGGCAGACATCACTCTAGGCTTAATTCATTACGTTATGCCAAATTTCGTGCAAATCGAAAGATATATAGGGACTTTGGGGCACAATTTACATGAAATCGGACGAAACTATATATGGGAGCTATATCTAAATCTGAACCGATTTTCTCGAAACTTGGCAGACATCACTCTAGGCTTAATTCATTACGTTATGCCAAATTTCGTGCAAATCGAATGATATATAGGGACTTTGGTGCACCATTTACATGAAATCGGACGAAACTATATATGGGAGCTATATCTAAATCTGGACCGATTTTCACGAAACTTGGCAGACATCATTCTAGACCTAAATGATTAGGCTGTACCAAGTTTCGTGCAAATCGAAAGATATATAGGGACCGTTTACATTAAATCGGTTAAATATATATATGGGAGCTATATCTAAATCTGAACCGATTTTTCCCAATTTCAATAGGGTTCGTCCTTGGGCCAAATAAGTGACTTGTGCCAAATTTCATCCAATTCGGATCATAAATGCGACCTGTACTTTGTTTACAATTTAACATGGACAGACAGACGGACAGACGGACAGACGGACAGACGGACGGACGGACGGACGGACATGCATAAATCGACTCAGAAAGTGATTCTATGCATATTCTCAAAAGGAACCATGGGTCTATCTCGATTATTTTTGCCTGTTACAAACATATGCACAAAGACATAATACCCTGTACCACAGTGTGGTGAAGGGTATAAAGACCAAATGAAAATATTTTATTGTAATATAGTTAAAAGTATTTGAAAATTGATCCCATCATGAATTTGTTTCTCAAGAAAATGCCATTATTGCTCAGATTGAAAGAACCTCATTGACAAACATGTACATCTCTTCAATATAAATGATCTTTGTTTAATAAGTTATTTAACAAAGATTGCTAACATTATTGCCAATCGCATTGTAGTTTTTTTTTTCAAATTCAGTGGGAGGAATGATTAGTTATTTGAGATACAAAATACAAGTATACCTACTATTGGTACACGCCGACAAAGACCACTTGCTCTAAATACAATTTAAAAAAAATTGCATAAATTAGAAATATGATTAATTATTATGTTGCGTTAAAATCCAATCTAGGAATAATCTACGAGTATGTTCGTTCGTTAATTCATTCATTCATTTTTCCCACATAGTAGTTACGGTCAAAACACGAAGGACATTAACAACTGCTAATTGGCATAACAATAGACGTTCTTTTTTTCTTCGTAGCTATAATAAACCAAATAGAAAAAAATCGCCAAAAACTAAAAAGAAGAAAACGATAATAAAATAGGATGATGATGAGAGATGATGACGACAAAATAAAAAAACCAACAACAAAAAACATACAACGAATTCCTACAAACTTAAGATTAACAACAACAATAATTGCTGACTTATTACAAAACTAACAATTCACGCCCTCGAGAAATCATTTGCATACACGAATACCAAAGGCAATGGGTATGAGCGAGAGACACACACACTGAGAGAGAGCGAGCGAGAGAGAATGATGAAGTCGCAAAGGCACTGGTTGTACGATTGGTGAATGGTGTAAAGAAGAAAACCAACAACAACTACACAACTAGTTTTCTTCGGAAGTGGTTGTGTGTAGTAATTGTTGTTGTTGTAATTGTACCTGCAAAACACAATGGCCCACATCATTGTTGTTGTTGTTGCTGGCTGTCATGCCATGTAACAACAACGTTGTTGTGTGCTGTGCTGTTAGGTTCTCTCACTGCAGTGTGTAGGGGTTAGTTGTTGTTGCCTCTGTCGCTGCGCTGTCTTCACAGAAAAGCAACGATCCTCTACTGAGATCAGCGAATACATCAGTTAGATTTACAACACGAAACAAGCAACATCACAATCAATACAAAACAAAAAATAATATTTCACAAAGTAAATCTAAGAAACAAGATTTTACTTAAAGAAAACTGAAGAAGAAATATACAAAAGAAAAACACAAATATTTAAATAAAACAATTTTTATAGAAAAAAATTTAAACAAATTTTATGAACAAAAAAATTGTGTGAATAACAATTTATTGGATTACAACAAAAATAAGTGAACCAACCAACCACATTTATAACAAATTTATTGGATTTTAATTACAACAAATTAAATTAAAAAAATGACCGTTACCGCTTTTGCCGCCGCCATGCACCGACCTTTCTTTAATGGATATCCATCTATGCAAGGTAAGTTGAACATCTCACCCAAGACTCAAACCAGACTCCCAATTCTCTCTCTCTCACTTCGATACTAAAGAGAGTTCCGACTCTCTTAAAAATCATCAAGTCAGAGTTAAAAGTCTTCTTAAGTCAAAACTAAAATTTCTTCGAGTGTAAGAATGTGTCATAAATCAAGTGACTCAAGACGCTTGCAAAAATACAATTCAATGCAAGCAACTCACACCCCGGCGGAAGCACGCGAACATGCTAAACACATTCTCATGTGCGAACATTGTTTACCTGCCAACTGTCCGTCCGTCCGTTCGGTGATGAGCGAGAGACACAGCATGATTGCGAAATTTCTAAGGAAATGACACGCGCATATGAAAAACATTTTCCATTTTTCCAAAAATTTAATTTTCCCATCTTTTCTTCTATTTCCAGATATGAATGCCGGCCAAGGCCGTGTAAATCAATTGGGCGGCGTTTTCATCAACGGCCGTCCCTTGCCCAACAGCATTCGCTTGAAGATCGTCGAAATGGCTGCTGAGGGCATCCGCCCCTGTGTCATTTCGCGCCAACTTCGCGTTTCCCATGGTTGCGTTTCAAAGATTTTGAATCGCTATCAGGAAACTGGATCCATTCGTCCCGGTGTTATTGGAGGCTCCAAACCACGCATTACCACTCCAGAAATTGAAAATCGCATTGAAGAATACAAACGTGCCAACCCCGGTATCTTCTCGTGGGAAATCCGTGACAAGCTAATCCGTGATGGTATCTGTGACCGCACCACCGCCCCCTCTGTTTCCGCAATTTCCCGCTTGGTTCGTGGCCGTGATGGCCCCTCAGACAGTTCCGATGACCAACAACAACCACAAAAGAGTTCTGGCTCAGATGCTGCCACCAATTCCCATGAAGATGTCTCCGATTGCGAAAGTGAACCCGGCATTGCCCTAAAACGCAAACAACGTCGCAGCCGCACCACCTTCTCCGCCATGCAATTGGAAGAACTCGAAAAGGCCTTCGAACGTACCCAATACCCTGATATCTATACTCGTGAAGAGTTGGCCCAACGCACCAACCTATCTGAAGCCCGCATTCAAGTTTGGTTCAGCAACCGTCGTGCCCGTTTGCGTAAGCAAAACACCTCAGGCGGTAACACCGTTGCCACCGGTCAAGTTCCCCTAATGGCTGGTATGGGCTCTTCCTACCCCACCATGTCTCATCATGTTCCCTATGCTGCCATGATGCCCTCTGAAGCTTCTGTTGCTGCTGCTGCCTATCAACAGCAAATGTATGATTTCTATGCCGGCCATCCCTCAACAGCTGCTGTTGCCGCTGCCGCCGCACCAGTAGTGAATACCAACGCTTCGGCTGCCATGACTCCTCCCCATCATCAACTATACAACAGTGTAGCCAATAATGGCGCCCAATATGCCACAGCTACCAACGCCGCTACCACCACCAACATGAACATGAATGCTTCCGCCTATGTTTCATCACAACATGCTAACTATGCCACTGAGACTGAAACCACAGCTCCAATTGCTCCACGCAATGATAGTCCCAGCGAATCGATCAACTCAGCCTACGGTTCCACCAACATCCAATTGCCACCCACTCCCAACAGTTTATCGGCTGTAATGGGTGCTGGTCCACATTCCGTCAATGGCAACAGCCATGAAGATTTGCAAGCTGCCCTTAAATCTGAAACTTCCAATGCCATTTCCCATCATCAACAACATCACTACAACAACTGGAATCAGGCCCACAACACCTCCACAGCTACAGCTGTAAGACCCTCGGCTCCACTGTCACCTGAAGATTCCCTAAATTCATCAGGCCACGAATCGAATGTACAGGCCAGCATTACCAGCTCCAATTCCGCTCATCATATGTATCCTCATGCTGCCGCCGCTGCTGCTGCCGCTTCTCAATACTCTTCCTACTCGCATCACAATGCCCATCATTCGCAATATCCCCATCAGTATGCCAGTGCCAGCCAACAATTGTCCTTTGCTCCCCATGGCAGCTCAACCGGTGCTGGAGCCACTACATCTGGTCATTTCATGCAACAAAACTTCCCCGGTTTCAGTTCACCATCAAAAATGAACTATGCCGGTGTTCCTCAACATTTCTATCCCACCTGGTATTGAAAAGTCTGAGCCCCGAGTACAGCATTAAGTGCAAGCTGGGCTTACACTTTTCATCGCAAATACCAAAGATATTGAGGAGAATTTCTGTACATATTTTCATTTCGATTTATATTTTATTTTGTTTAAAAATAGTTTTTCCAATTCCGACTTATGAGGCTTTTACCGATATAGGTGTTTTAATTGTAAATATTATTGTAGTATTATTAATATTATATTTTTAGTATTTAAGAGGTAGTTTTAAGTTTTATTTTTATTCATAAAATAAATAATTCAATTGAAAAATTAAATTTTATTCAACTTTTTTTTGGGGATTGTGGGATTTATTTTTAACAAACAATTCAATATTTATGGGAGTTTAAAAAAAATGGGGCATATATACAAAAAATCAAAATTAAATATAATACTTTCTTATAAAAAAAACACACACACATAATTTCTTCGAGTCTCAAAAAAGTTAACCAGATTAAATTAAAGTCTCATACACTTTGTTTTTATAAATATTGGCCTTTTATAAATTTATTTAATATTTACTAGTGTAACCTTTACTTAGAATGTTAAAATGAAAAGCTTTAAATTTGATTTCCGTAGCAGGGCAGTGTAGATCGGCATTGTTTGCCATATCAAGTGTCCAATAATATCTTAAAACATATCAATTCTAAAATATATTTATTTATAAAAAAATATTAAATGTCCAAAGTTGTTGCCACTGCTAGAAGACAACCTTGCCATAGAATAAAAATAGGTTTCGGGTCGAAAAATCTTAAACCTCGATTTTATGAGCGCTGATCAAACGTGCCCCCTCTCCCCTACAAATGAATGCAATTTTAAAATAGGGTGCTATAAATCGGAGATAGGGATCAATAGGTTTAACAAAAAAGGGAATTTAATCGACATTAGTAGTATTATTGTATAGTATAGTGGATATCAGCCCCGAATGCTGATATGAGATCGGGAGAGTTTATTTTTCAGAAGACTGTTGTAAATGTAAAGCTCTTAAAAAATATGTGAGAATTTCGGAATATTTTTCACAAAAAAATTTAAGTTAATTAATTAATACAGGTGTATTTCGTTTAATAACCGTTTGTGTTTTTCAGGTCCCTCTTCCCTCTAATATTATTACCTAACCCCAAGACAATTTCCCTCCATCATGAGGCGGACATTTAATATTATTAGAAATGGTGGAAGCCCTTTTAAGGAGATATGTCAAATTTTGGAACTATTTTGTAAATTGTATGCCAGTATTTTGTTATCTTACTCGAAATCCTAATAACAAATTTTAAATACTTAGGTTGGAAAATTCGTCTAGGGAGAGAGATATGGGTAATTTAACAACACGATGACTCCGAAATGTCAAATTGTCGCAGCTTGGGTTGCTGTTTTTCGTGTACTACCATTAAAAACCATAATGTCAAATAGATATGTTATTTACTTATTAAATACCTAAGGAGTTGGTAAATACCCATATTTATTATATTATATCGTTTTTTTATATTATATCGGTAATACAATATCTTACACTCCATTTCCGGGTATTTGCTCATTAACTGGCGAACCACTTAACAAAGGCAGCCAAAATTTGGTTCACATGTTTACAATGTCAAAACTAATACTGGTATAGAAAATGGTCTCTGGGTACAAGTTTTGATAAAGCCCCCGTAAATCCCAATTTATTGTAATTTTTTTTATCTATTAGACACGTTTTACAATCAAATTGGCTGTAATTTGGCACAGAGAGTTCTCAATGGGTACCAAATATATGTGCAAGAAGTCCACGATTTCTGGCAGCTCCCATATAAACTTACCCCTTTTGGGTATTTACCCAATATTTGGGTAAGTTAATGAGTTTAACTTGCGAACCACTTGGCATAAGCGCCAAAATTTGGCTCATATGTTTTTAACACCAAAGCTAATACTGGTATGAAAAATTGTGTCGCTGGATCCATGTTTTGATATAGCCCCAATATAACCGTACCTCCCGGATTTGGGCAATTTGTGACTATAAACCGCATTTAACAATCAAATTGGCTGTAATTTGGCACAGAGAGTTCTCTGTGGGTACCAAATATCCCTCCAAAAATTTGTCTACTCAGGTTTACATTTTATGTTAGCCCCTATATAACGGTCCTGATTTCGGGTATTTATCCACATTTTGGGTATAAGCTCTTTAACAGCCCTTGACGTGTATTTTAAAAACCCCATTTCCTATAGCGGAAATTCTGGTGATGGATGAACGATTTGTATTAAATTTTATTTTCCTACGTTAAGTGTTTCAGCCGTTAAATAGTTCTTATCCAGCTATATGTGGGCAATAATTTGCAAATGACATTAGGTCAAAGTCAAAATTCCATATTTTGTAAAAGTAAAATTTAAATTTTTTGTGAATATAATATGTATGAAATGTAGGTCAATTAAACAGATGTAACATAGTGCCGATCGGTACCAGAAGACATTTTATTGGTTATAGTACCAATCGACGCCTTAATATGTTCTCTGACAGTTCATAAACTAAAAAATAAATATTGACTTTTAATAATATAGCCTCTTGATGATAAAATTGAAAGATATTAGTCTCACCTTCAACCAAATGAGCTGTAATTTGGTAGCTTGGAGCTACCGGGATACTTAATAATTAATTGATTAATTTTTACTTTTTTCTTGCAGAATCGTAATCAGTGTCCCCAAAATATTTATATGTGATATTTACTTATTTCATAACCCACTGCTAATTATGGCCCAAAAATGGTATCCCGGCCCATAGTAATGTGGTACGAGCCTTTTGTGGTGAGTATACGCCATACAATTACAATTTTGTGATTTTTCACACAAAGGTCTTGATTCGCTAAATATTAACGGATCATCATTGAAACAGCCATGTTAATTCGTAGGCCATGATCCACTTCTCCTTGTAAAATTATTTGGCTCATTTGATCCGAACCGAATCTACATTACTATGTTTAGAAATTATAAAGGGCAATGGGATGGACATACAAATTTAATCGACTCAGCTAGTTGAGATATGACGATCGTTATATTACTAGATGGGTTTAGCGAGCCGTATTTTACGGCGTCCAATAGTTTGTCACGCCGCAAAATACTGACCACAAGAAACTTATAATACTCTCACAACATAGTTGTGTAGGGTGTATACATTTCGGTATTGATATTTGTATTGTTATTAACACCGTCCCATGTTTATAATGACGCCTTTGAATAGAAAATTCCAGGTTTCTACTTTAAATGTTAATATATATACATTTTTTAAAAACAATTGCGACATCATTTTGTAGGGGACCTCCTGCCCACATACATGCTCAGCCATATTATATATTACGACGATACATTCCTCATCGAAATATCCATTTTAGGCCCCTGGTATATTTGTACCAATTAGAGAATTTTGAACCGATTTAGGAATGGTTTGTTGTTTGATCTGCCTCGAAAGTTGAATCGGATATGGAATATCGTGCGAACCAATTATCACATGCTGAGGGTATATTTCTAACTATTTTTGTTATAACTCCAATATTTAAATCGATCGTCCGCCTCCACTTATAATTTGTAATCAAAGTACGCAATTATGTACCGATTGTCACGAAACTTTAGATGAAGTTCCGACCTTCAGCTTTGGTAGATAAGTAGTTACATGGTTCATGGATTTTTGTGTAAAAACTTACGACATGTTCATTCTGTGGTGTATATTTTAGGCTTTAATATTCCATTATCCCACAAAAAACATTGCTCGGTATACAATGTCAGCCCTGTTTAACTTTTCTATGCAGTAAATCTGGAAAAAGTTCTACATCGGAACGTAGCTAATGAGATTATACCAAAAGTGGTCAGATATTGATGTCATGTTAGTGGTATCTTTTTAGAAGATAGCCATTTTTAAATAGTTTTTCCTTCGTGGGTTATGTCAATACTCAATTGAAATTCTGATATAATATTTACACTCTACGCCACACTGTCAATTATTATTTATTAACAGTATTTCAATAGAAGTCATTGAGCACGTTTTATATATATGTAGAGTATCATAAGGTCGATCTTGTTCGACTTTCGCAATTTCATTTTCAGAATATTCAGTAGTAATTGTTCGACAAAATAAACTCGGTGGCAAAGAACAACATTTGGATCAATAAAAAATACACTTTTTGTTCGCGAAACAGTTTGATACATTTCGAATCCTCTGAAATTTTACAGAGAATTTCCCAGAAATGAACTTATAATTCCAAAAATTTCAGCGAAATGACCTTCAAATTTATTACTTTCAATAAAACGGCAGCGGCATATTCTCAAAGATTCTCTGTTTTCATTCAAAATATATGCACAAATATATTTCGAACTCCCATGGATACATCTAATGGTCTATTAGTCCTTGACACGCTTCCGAAAACAGCAGGATCCATCCATCAATCCATCGAAATGGCATTTGGCAAACGGAATACAGAAAACGAAATTCCAATACCGGCAGTATTGGCAAAAACAAAGGGTCCAGACATCTTTATTAAGACGGCAATATTTATACCCAATAAATACCTTTAAGTAGCAATCTGTTGGATTCCCGACAGGGAATCTCAACAAACACCACAGGATGCATGCGGAGACACACGCGCATCTCTGACACAAAATCGAAAAAAAGGACAACGAGGATATTTTCCTGCATACTGTGCGGGTTGTGTGCATAAAAGAAAAGATTCGTACATGACAACAGCCAAAGAGTATTGCACACCGATCTCCCTCTCTCTCTCTCTTAAACAACAAAAGAGAGAATTCAAAAGAAAAGAGAAGTTGTGAATTTTACAGAAGTTGTCGGCAATTTTTAGATCTCTTAATGTTCTGTAATATGGATCGGTGGGGGAGTTTTTCAATTGAACTGAGAATAAATTAATTGGAAGGGTTTTAATTGGTCGCACTGTGCCAATTAACCACCTAATGAGGTGTGAATCGAAATCGAGAACAGAAGTAATGATTGGTAGATGATTTACACTGAAATTGAATAT